ATCAGTAAAATAAAAGGAAATAATTGAGATCAAAGCCAAAATTAATGAAATAGAGAATAAAAGAATAAAAAGGATCAATGTGACAAATAGTTGGTTCTTTGAAAAGAGATACAAGATTTATAATTCCTTAGCTAAATCATTAACTGAAAAAAGCGAGAGAAGAGCCAAATTTTAAAAATTAGAGTTGAAAAAAGAAGATATCACAACAGATATCACTGAAATGCAGAGGATAACTAGGAACCATTTTGAAAATTTATAATCCATTAATTTGTCAAATCTGGAAGAAATGGATAAATTCTATACACCCATAACCTAGCAAAATTGAACCAAGAGGATGTAAATTATAAAAATACCAAGAACAATCAATGAGATTAAAGCAGTAATATAAATCCTTCCAACAAAATAAGCCCCTGGACCAGATGGTATCTTGGTTGAATTCTTCCAGACCTTTAAAGAAGAACTAAGGCCAATGCTCCTCAAATTATTCTATGAAATAGAAATGGATGGTACTTTTCCAAATTTATTTTACAAAGCCAGTATCACATACACCAAACCCAGATAAGGATACCTCAATGAAAGAAAACTCCAATATCCTTGATAAAATCTTTGCAACAACCTTGCAAAATTCCTTAACAGAATATTATCAAATTGTATTTGACAACATAATAACAAGATTATACATAATGATCAAGTTGGCTTCATCCCAGCAATGCAAAACTGGTTCATCATATCCAAATCAATAAACATAACACACCACATGAAGAGAATCAAGGGCAAGACTCACATGATCATCTCAATAGATGAGGTGAAAGCCTTCAATGAAATACAGCACCCTTTCATAAGAAAAACCCTGAAGAAACTGGGGATAGAAGGAATTTACCTCAATATAAAAAACTATACATGGCAAATTAAAAGCCAATATCATATTGAATAGGGAAAAATGAAAATAGTTCTTCTAAAATAGAGAATAAGACAAGAATGTGCATCCTCACCACTCCTATTCAATACATATTTGAAATTTTATCCAGGCAATTAGTCAAGAGAAGGAAATAAATGGAATACAAATGGGCAAGGAAAAAGACAAATTATTCCTATTTGCAGATGTTATCCTATACTTAGAAGATCCTAAACATTTCACCAGCAGACATGTAGACCTAATAAACAAATTGAGTAAAGTGGTTAAGTTACAAAATCAACACAAAAATCAATATCTCTTTACATCAATAATGAACTCACAGTGAACTAAATTTAAAAATTCCATTCATAGGGATGGGGTTGTGGCTCAGGGGCAGAGTGCTTGCCTAGCACGTGTGGGGCACTGAGTTCTATTCTCAGCATCTCATGTCAATAAATGAAAGGTTCATTGACAAAAAAAAATTAAAAGAATTCCATTTATAATATCAACCACCAAAAATACTTTGAAATAATATCAAGAGGTGAAGGACCTCTATGGTGAAAATTATAGAAGAGTGAGGAAAAAATTGGGGTAGACTTTAGGATATGGAAAGACCTCCTATATTTCATGGATAGGTAGAATATTGTTAAAATGGCTTTATTACCAAAAGTGATCTACAGATTCAGTGCAATCCCCATCAAAACACAAATATCATTCTTCACAGAACTGAAAAAAAGCTACCTAAAATTCATATGGGAGAATTAAATACCAACAATAGCCAAAGCAATTCTAAGAAAAACAATCAATACTGGAAATATAATGATACTCAACTTGAAATTATACTATAGAGGTATAGTAATGAAAATAGCATGATAGTGGTATAAAAGCAGATATGAAGACTAATGGAATAAAATAGAAGACATAGGGACAAATGTAGACATATACCTCAGATTTGTTGTGATGATCATTCAGATGACAAAAAAGTATGAGCAAATACAAACAAAAGAGGTCATTAACATATTTAGTAACTATGATTATGTGTGTGAGTGTAAAACACGAAATATCTAATTGACCAAGAATATAACAGAAAACTGAATGGCCTTCTTAATCATCTTAACCTTCTCACCTGAACCTTCCCTTAAATCTAATGATCCCTATGAGTAACTGCTTTGTTTACTATCTGAAGTTACCCATTCCATGTTGGTGGTATCTTATTCTCTTACCATACCTTTACACATCTTAAACTACAAGGGAATATTGATTAAGAGATACAAAATTTCAGTTAGACCAATTGCATAATTTCTGGAAATCTGTTGTACAACATAGTGACTATAATTAACTAATATGTGTTGTAATAATAATAGTGCATTTGAAATCACCAAGAAAGTAGATTTAAAATGTTGTCACCATGCAAAAAATAAGACATCTGTGAAGTGAAGGTTATATTATTTAATTAGATTTAATCAATGCATACATGTATAAAACAACATATATATCATAGGTGTACACAATTTGCATATATCAATTAAAAATAAATAACAAAAAATAATAGATCCACTCTTTAGACATATTAAAATTCTTTCACTTCCTAAATGCAGACTTTCTCCTGCTCAAATTCAGTGAAGTCTCTCTTCTTGTTACTCTCTTACCCACTTTCCGATGCCCAACTTCCACTAGCTTAGTTAATTCTCACTCATTGTTCAAGTATTAATCTAGACACATTTTTTTGCAGAAGTCATCATTGACCCCTTTAAATAAAATTTCCTTCAATACACTATCCCATTACACCTTTTTATTTCTACATATTGCCAACAGAATACACCCATATCAACAAACTTGAGGAGCTTATTAAAATGGAGATTACTGGGATCATTCAGGATCATCTGATTCAGTAAGTATTGTGTAAGGCCAGTCTACAAATTTAGCAAGCATCCTAAATGATTTTGATCACACATTAAAGTTTAAGAACCACATTCTGGGGGCTGGGGTTGTGGCTCAGTGGTAGAACACTGGCCTAGCATGTGCAAGGCCCTGGGTTTGGTCCTCAGCACCACATAACAATAAATAAAGATATTGTTTTAAAAAAAAGAACCACATTCTGGCATATGGCTCTTCAAACTGAGTTAAAATTGTGTGCTTATACTTCCCCTCTAACTCGAAATGAGATCTGGGACTATATGTTTCTCTTTCTCACCATTATATTTCCAGTGTCTTATGTACGATAAGCACTCAGTTTTGGAAGAGAGGGGGTGGAAAAGAAAAGAAGGAGAAAAGAAAAGCAAAAGATAAAAGGAAAGAAAAGAATTTTCCTAAAGTAAGAACCAGTGAACTTTGCATGGCCTTTGATCCTTGCATATCAATGATTAAAAAGATTCATGCTTTCAAAACATACATATTAATACATAATATTTATGTACTTCTAATTTGACTTTCATAATAACTGCCAACTACTGTTTCATAATTTTAATGGAAATTGTAGGAAGTTTTTCAACATAGCAAACTATTAACTCTAGTTACTACTGGATCATAGGACTCGGAGGAGAACAAATGATTTTTTAAAAATTTCTGTATATCTAAAAATAGGATTGTATATTACATTTGAAATTTTAAATATTATAAAAATAATTGTTTTTAAAAATCAAGGTCTATAATAGTAACTCCATGATTTATAAAAATGTTATTCTACTAATTTGTACTTAATATATTTTGCAATTCAACTTTCCCTGTGATGTTTAGATATTAGGGACTGATATAGAACTATTTATCTTTGAACTTAAATAAATTTTGCAATCCAATTTTCTTCTTCTTCTTTTTTTCCCATAGGGATTGAACTCAACCACTGAGCCACATCCACAGCCCTATTTTGCATTTTATTTAGTGTCTGACTTGTTTAGTGTCTGCTTTTGCTGAGGCTGTGTTGAAGTCAAGATCCTCCTGCCTCAGCCTCCTGAGCCTCTGGGATTACAGGTGTGTGCCACCTCACCTGGCTGCAATCCAATTTTCTCTGTGATATTTAGATATTAGGGATTGATATGGACCTATTTATCTTTGAATATTTTTATTAATTTCTTCTGTCACTTTTCAATATGACCTCAGAGTACATTCTTTTTTAAAAATATTTACTTTTATTTTTTTAGTTGGACACAATATCTTTATTTTATTTATTTATTTTTATGTGGTGCTGAGGATCGAACCCAGAGTCTCGCACAATCCAGGCGAGTGCTCTACCACTGAGCCACAACCCCAGCCCCTCAGAGTACATTCTTTACAGCACAATGAAGTCACATTAAGCAGATACTGAAACAATGAGATAGAGTGAAGAACACTAGCTTTGAAGTTCAACAGTCCTTAGTTTGAATTTTGGCACTGTCATTTAAAGATTCTGTGATGTTAAAACCATTTTTTCAATGTCTATGAAGTTCAGGTTCCTCATCTATAAAAAGGTCCTAGTAATACTTTCCTCACAGAACTGTTGTAAAGAATGAATGTAGTTTATGTGTAAAGTATCTAGCATGGAACTAGGTGTCAATTAATGCTAGTTAGTTCTCTTCATTACTTTGCTCATTAAACAAATATGTACTGAGCACCCATGTGATGTAAAGAAGGTCCACTAATAACTGCCCTAAGAGAGCACTGCCACCATGTACAGGATAGCAAAAATAATGACCATGCAATCACCCATCAGGAATAGGAATCCAAACATTTCTACATACTTCATTTTGGGCCACACTTTTACCAATTGCCTGAATTTGGTGAGACAGGACATACTCACATGCAACAAGTAATATTAAGTGGATTTATCATTTATGGATAGGCATCCAGGGACTGAAAGGGTATAAGATGCATTATGAGCCAGGATCCTGAGGCTCAATAAAACTATTTGATGGTTTCTTGACTGCCTTACTTTATTTGAATCACAGCTAAGGAACCCTGAAAAGCAGCCTGCCATGAGTTTTATACCTCAGGAGAAATGTTATTCACTGGGACAAGCTTTGAAGGGCTTACTGCTTCCAGGGGAGAGGGGAACAAAGCCTGGCCTAGCTTTCACAATATCTTCCTAACTCTAGATATTAACTTCCCTACAAGGGGCAGGAACAAAGCTGACTGTTTCAGGCAGTGCCGCCATGTCTCAGGATATTGTATTTGCAGTATGTTCTATAAATTATTCTGAGAATTACAGGCAAGAAGACAGGAAAGAGAATGTGTCATCCAAGGCTACATGGAGACAATCCAGCATGTGTCAGATATATATATATATATATATATATATATATATATATATATATATCCATCCACTGGAGATACACTGGTACATAAAATCAACACGGTAACACAATTAGATCTAGCAGTACAAGGAGATGACAAATTATATCTTATCTACCTATTGAATGAAGAAAGGCATGATAAATACTATGAATAAGAACCATGAAATGCACTGGTGAATATAATAGAGGTATCTAATTTGATTTTTTTGTTTTGTTTTAACGTGGAAATTTGGGTATCTTTCCTTTAGAAGTTACAAACCGAGTATCAAGGCAAAATATGAAGGTGAAAGCAAGAATACATTTTAATATTTTCTTTCTTATTTTTTATTTTGTGACAGGGTCTTGCAAAATTACTGAGGCTAGTCTCAAACTTGAGATCTTCCTTTCTCAGCCTCCTGAGGCTCTGGGATTATAGGTGTGTGTGTCACTGTACCCAGCTTCACTTTCACCTTGTCTCTTCTTCTTGCAACTTGAAGGTAAAAAAATATCTAGGAAAATGTGTGTGTGTGTGTGTGTGTGTGTACGTACACACATGTGAAGAGGAGTTGTAGGATAATTGTACACTGCTTTATATAAATGTCTTTTATCACTTCTGAACTTATCTCAATCAGTAATAATACTATAGGATTTGGCTTAACCAAACATCCATAGTACCATATTATTCACTGCACAGATTTCAGAGGAAAAGCAACAATATTTTTTCTAAAATATAATATATATTGAAGATCAAATTAGATACCTCTGTTATATTTTCCCATAGCACTCCATGATTGGTCCTCACAGTATTTATTATATATTTTTGAATAGATATATTATATTATATATATGTTATATATACATATATACTATCTAATATATGATATATATTAGAGAAAACTTTATTGCTCAAGACTTTAAAATATTTTATTAGCAAATTATTTTCTTTAAAGATATCAATGTCATGAAACTTGCAATAATAAAATTTCCACCTGTAATACAGTTACTTCATTTTTGAAGACCTCACCAAGTATGTAATTCTTTGCTAAGGAGTCTAATTCCAATGTCTATTTTTTTTAATTGTGAATTGCCTATTTGGGTAAGTAATTGCCCCGTGATGGAGCTCAAGAGATTGAAATATGCCTCACATAATATTATCCTGTGTTACCTCTGGTCCAGAAGATCTCTTCAGGACCAAAAAAAGGTTTTGGTCTGTTTCAGTACAGAGAGCCAGAGAGCCCTAAGTGATTTCAAAAGACCCAGAACTGACCTAACCTCCTAAGAGTTAATATAAGGATCAATCCATGACCATGGTAGATTTCAGGCTCTCTCTCCCCTTCATTATATCCAATCCCTCATCAAAGCATCCCAATCTTTCAATTTTATATCTGTGAAAGTCCCCCCATCCTGTATCACCATAGCTTGGATTACTATAACAGCTTCCCATTTTGTCTCATTAGCTTCCGCCTTTCTCACTGTAGTCTACCCTTCCCACAAATCTAGGTTATTAATTATTTTATTCTCGTATAAAGCATTGGATGTCTGGGATTATTCTAATAATTATAAATATATTAATTCATTTAACGCTACCAATCATAAGATACAGGTAACATTGCTATCTTCATTTTAAGGGTGAGGACCTGTGGCATTATAAAGTTAATTTTTCTCAAAGTTACACAGAAAATGGTGGAATTGGGACTTAAATTTAGACAGTCTAGATCCAGAGTCTATGCTATTAACCACTACCTTGTACTTCTACTCTCAGTATATAGAGACATTCTCTGGCTATTCTGGTCTTACCAATCCTCTCTTCTGTGCATTATAAATGGCACCACATTAGAACTTGGATTTTATGTAAATTTTTATAAAGCCTATTGATTTGGACAGCCCAAAGAGAGTGTAAAATTCTCAAAGAGCAGCAACCACATCTCATCTTGTTTCTAAAGCTCTCACAAATTCCTCAAGACTTGGACCAGCTTCCAGGATTGGAAATACCCAACATCGGCCTTTGTTCCTTTCATTACAAGTTCAATGTCATGTTTTAGATAAGACAATGTATACCATTATAAGAAATTTATTCACTGTAATTAAGATGACACATGAATCAAAGTTCAAAGTTATTTTGAAACATTGAAAAATGACTCAGGGAGTATTTTAAATTATCCACTCAACTTCCTCAAAATATTCTGTAATACATATTAATGAACTCTTTTGCAAAAAGGAGAAGATAAAATAAAATAAAAAGCCAAGCATTGTAACGTACTTAGTGGTTCAGATTAGTATGCAGTATATTTTGATTCAATATACAATTTAGAATCAGAAGAGTAGAATCCAATTCCCAGCTCTGAAACTGCTAGTTATATGACATTAGGGGTTTACTTAATCTCTCTGAGCCCTGCCCACCTTCATCTCACCCTACCACCTGTAAATTAGGGATAATATTTACCTGATCTCAAAGATGATTTTGAGGATCAAAGAAGATAATGCATCTGTAAGTACTTTTTAAACTCTAAAGCAATATAAAAATGTAGTTTGCATTATTATTTATATAACATGAGATCTTAGAACGGAGAGATATTAGATTTTAGATCTTTCACTAATCCAAACTGTGGGATCTCGCTGAAAGCGTTAACTTATCTGAACCTCATTTTCTCCATATGTAAAACAGAGGAGTTTACACTTTTAAAAAATTTTAATCCATTGACATTAATTTCCTCCAAATTCTGCTGGTAAATAACAAAAAATCTGATGAAGAATATGAATTGCTAATGATTTTTCAAACCAAATGATTACCTATGCTATGAAGCAAATTATTTTATATCTTTGCCTTGTATTACCACTTAGGACTTACATAAATCTTTCACATTAAATTATTTAAATTCCTTCTGTTTTCTATTATTATAAATGATATGGCAAATGCTATATTCACATTTTCTTACATGGCTAAGAGTAAATTACTCTCTGAATTGTTCAAAAGTAAACAGAAAGAAATACATACTTAGAGAGCTCTTGAACTAAAGAAATTTTGTATCATGAGACAGAATGTTTATTATCCATTCAGAAATAAAACTTCAAAAGTTGATGTACTCTAATGAGTATTTTTTCCATTAATAATAGCATAAAGCATCTACAAGTATCCATCTTTATATATATATACACACACACACACACACACACACCCTACACACTGTCAATGGAAAACTTCAATATGGAAGTCTTTAAGACACATTAAACCAAAAATGAGAAATATTTGAAACATGAGAAAGGGAAGCCTGAATGGAAGAGAACATAGACATTTGGAAATTGGGCTGAAGGAAGAGGAAAACATTCATTCAGTTAGGCATTCATTCAAAAAACTGTTCATCACCTACAATTTAATATGGAGGTATGTAGAGTGCTAGGGAGACTAAAATGAACAGATGAACTTCTGTTCTCAAAAATTTCAATGTCACACCATTTAGAATTGCAGATTAGAGAAAACATTCAGCATTTTTTTTTTGAGATTGGCTAACTTCACTTAGCATTATATTCTCCAACTCCATCCATTTACCTGCAAATGGGCCAAGGAACTGAACAGACACTTCTCAGAAGAGGATATACAATCAATCAACAAACATAAGAAAAAAATATTCAACATCTCTAGCAATATAGAGAAATGCAAATCAAAACTACTCCAAGATTTCACCTCACTCCTGTCAGAATAGCAGCTATCAAGAATACAGATAACAATAAATGTTGGCGAGGATATGGGGAGAAAGGCACCTTCATACATCGCTGGTAGGACTACAAATCGGAGCAACCAATCTGGAAAGCAGTATGGAGATTTCTTAGAACATTTGGTATGGAACCACCTTTTGACCCAGCTATCCTGCTCCTTAGTCTATACCCAAAGGATTTAAAATCAGCATACTAAAGTAACGCAGCCACATCAATTGTTCGTAGCAGCTCAATTTGCAATAGCTGAACTGTGGAAGCAACCTAGATGCCCTTCAATAGATGAATGGATAAAGAAACTGTGGTATATATTCACAATGGAATATTACTATGCATTAAAAGAGAATAAAATTATGGCATTTGCAGGTAAGTGGGTGGAGTTGGAGAATATCATGCTAAGTGAAGTAAGCCAATCCTAAAAAACCAAAGGCCAAATGTTATCTCTGATAAGTGGATGCTGATCCATAATGGGGGACTTGGGGAAAATGGAGGAGCTTCAATGGAGGAAAGGGGAGGGAGGGGTGGGGAGGGGCCATGGGGGCAGTAAAGATGGTAGAATGAGATGGACATCATTACCCTAGGTACATGTATGACTGCACGTATGGTATGATGCTACATCATGTAACCAGAAAAAATGAAAAGTTGTGCTGGAATTGTGTACAATTAGTCAAAATGCATTCTGCTGTCATATATACCTAATTAAAATTAATTAATTAATCAATTTAAAATTTCAGTATCACTGGAGAGATGGTGCTATGTATGAATATATTACAAGCAAAGTAAGTATTTTGATCCAGAGGTTGCTAAAGGAGCAGACAAAAAGAAAGTCTACCTCGAGCTGCAGGGTCAAGTAAAATTTTCTGGGGGAGGTGACAGTCTGAGCTGAGTTTAAAGTAGGAAAAAGGAGTTCCTCATGTAAAAGGGGAGTAAAGTATATTCAAGAAAAAAGAAAAACTTTTATGAATGTCTGTAAATAACAAAATGCAAGGAGGATTCTAGTCATCTGTTAAGTTTATCAAATGCTTAGAATGTGAGTTAAGGAGTACCAATTAATGAAACTAAAGACGTAGACAGGAGCTAGATTTTGGAAGGACTTAGTATCCCATACTAAGGAGTTTGGATTTATCATAAAGGTGAGTGAGAACCATCAATCAGAGAAATCTAAGCAAAACAGTGACATGAGAAGTTTTTTTTTTTTTTTGCTTTAGATAGATAAATTTAATGAATAGGAGAATATATAGGTAAATAATGATAATAGCTGAGCATGATGGTACATACTTATAATTCAGGTCACTCTTGAGATTGAGGTGGAAGACTACTTGAACCCAGAATTTTGAGAGCCTGGGCACAATAGTGAGACTCTTAGAAGAAGAAGGAGGAAGAAAAAACAGGAGAAAGAGGAGGTGATGGAGTGGAGTTAGGGAACAAAAGGGACACATTCAAGAATTATTTAGCAGGTGTAAGTGCAGATGTGTGGTGGCTGTCTACATTTAGGATGAGAGAGGTGGGTGGTAGGACATAGGAAAACTCTTAGATTTTTACGTTTTAGGGAATAGAAAGATGAGTGCAACTTAATAAAACAACATATAAGAGAAAGATCAGGTAAGGAGGCAAGATTATGAGGTCAGTTTCAGTCACATAAAATTTGAGGTGGCTTTGAAATTTCCAAGCAAAGATATTCATTGAGCTGTTGGATATCTGGACTGGACACAGATTTAAGCATACTTTCATAGAGATGATAAATGACACAATCACTGAGAGGTTACTCAACAGAGAGAACAATAAGTAAGATCAGAACTGCCAAGGATAGAATCCTAAAAAATACCAATGCTTGTGGAGTAAATGGGAAAACAGGAATAATTGAAGAAGACTGGAAAGCATTGCTCACAGCAATATTGAGAAAGTCAGAAAGATAATCATGTCATAGAAGACAAGGGAGCAAAGTTTCCAGAAGGAAATGGTTACCAGTGTCAAATGCTGCAAATGTTTACTGAAGATAAAGGTGGAAAAGTGCCCAGTGAGTTTAAAAATTAACAAATTCTAGACAACCTTGTGAGCAGATTCAATTTCAGTTGAGTGAAGGAAATGGAATCAAACTGCTATAGGCTGAGGAATAGATAAGAAGTGAGGGACTCCAGGGATATTTCCTTGTGGCAGCCTCACAAATATTTTCTTTCATGAGCCCAAAGGAAATATTAAAGTATAGCTGCATCATTCATATATATATATATATATATATATATATATATATATATATATATAAGTTCAAGTGGTCTTCCACCTCAATCTCAAGAGTGGCTGCATTATATATATATATATATATATATATATATATATATATATATATATATATATATATATAATATACATAATGTATATATATGTATATATATATACAATTTTATGTATATATATATATATATATATATATATATAAAATTTCTTACCATTGCTTTTATTAAAGGATTTTCACCAAAATCAAATGAGAGAGGAGGCAATGAGTGAGTAATATTCTTCCAACTAGCGGTTCTATGAAGAAAGAAACAGTGCTAATCCAAGGGGCAGAGCTCAATGGAGGGGGTTGAGTTTAGTTTGTCTCTCTGCCTCCCACCCCCCACCCCCCCCTTTCTGAAAAGACTTAAACATTTTTAAATACTGATGGGAAAGACCAACAGAAGGGAAGACAATGAAGATTCAAGAGACAGAGGGAATAAAAAATAAAACAGAGACCATAAGGAGGCAAAAAGAACTGGATGAGCAACAGAAATGAAAGCATGAGATTTGTTAAGATTGAGAAACCTCTCCCTACTGAAAAGAGAATGAAGGAAAGAAGGATGAAAGCCAATTCAGAGATGTTTATCGTGAGGACTGAGTTGTTAGGTCTAGGAAGTGGAGTAGGTCTAACATCATAATGCAATTTTATCTATGAAATTTTTATTAATGTAAACAAAAAATTACTATTTCTTGTAGAAAACACAAAAGGTATAATGAAGAGAACCAAAATTATTTGTAAATATACTGCACAGAAAAATCTGTTAAAATTGAATTGCACCTGTTAAAGTAAGGATAGAAATAGTTGTATGCTTACTCCATTCAACACTATTTGTTTCTATAAAAATAAATCTAAATTATTTCCTCTATTTTTTAAAATTTTTATTGGTTCTTTTTAGTTATACATGACAATAGAATATACTATGGCATAATTATATTTTTTTTTCTCAGAACTCCACCGGGAACTCCAAAGTAGCGGGTGCCTGAGGCAGATTCGGGTCCATATACAACTCAATTAATCCAGCATCACAGCAATTATATACAGCTTAACTCAAGTCATCATCTCAATGGTTCGCTGGCGTCACCTTTCAACCATTCCCTCTGGCAATATGCCAGGCGTCATTCTGTCTCGGCTATGGATCTCAACAAATAACCAGTACTTCTAGACTCTGTTTGGGGGGAAAAATTTGTTGGACTGGTGAGGGGCAATTTGTTTTAAGAATGTACCCACCATTGTTTGCTTCATATAGGTAATTTTTAGCTAACATTAGCGTCCTAGAAAGGATTAAATGAAGATGGGAGATATTAACTACACCTGTAATAAATTAAGGTATGTGAGCTATAAATATTAATTTCCCATGACTTCTATGTCTTATTAGCTTAATGCTGCTATGTTTCCAAAGTATACCTTATGGCAGGAGTTTCCAAGTGAGCCACAGTGAATTTGTTCCATATTTGCTAGATATTTCAGAAAAGTAGATTTTGGTTTATTAGAAGAAAGGATATTTCTGACAGCTATCAGATAACTTCTTACAGAGATCTGAATTACTTGTCACTAGAATATTTAAGCACAAGTTTAGTGACAACAGTAACCTATCAATTCTAAATTAAGAGACATGAGAATCTCAAAAGTCAGTGGAGTTTTGTAGAGGAAATTCATGTAGAAGTCAGGGAGAGATTTAGACACTGATTTATAATACTTTGTATCTTATTTATTGCTAAAACTCAAATAAAGTCTTGACTCTCCCCATAATGGAAACAAAGAAAAACTGCCAATTTTTCAAAAATATTATGCTAATTTTGTATGCATATTTTCATAATACTGTACTAATGCCATTAAGCATAAATTTCACTACTACATTATAAAACAAGGAAACTATTTTTAAAATTAAATATGATTATTTAAAACTAATAAATTGGGGCTGGGGATGTTGCTCAAGCGGTAGCGCGCTCGTCTGGCATGCGTGCGGCCCGGGTTCGATCCTCAGCACCACATACAAACAAAGATGTTGTGTCTGCCGAAAACTGAAAAATAAATATTAAAATTCTCTCTCTAAATAAATAAATAAATCTAATAAATTATGCTAAGTCAAAGTGAGCCAGGTAGGGAAAAAATTATCCACATTAGCAGGTGGTATGAAGGTTCAGCCTGGAATTCTCATGAAATGAATTCTGCCATTTAATTGATGGCCATAAAGGAGTGGAGAATAAAATACAATAACAGATAAATAATAATCAGGAAATGGAACATAAAATATACTTGCCAGTAGGAGGGGAAATAGTGGATTTTGATATATACAAGGTGCACAAATTTAAACATACCTTGTCAAGATGATCTAGGTGGAAAAATATATAGCAGATATGATTAGTATAATGTGAACTTACATTCTTACAAATGTGAACTTGAGGGGGGATTGAGAGATAAAAGAACAAGAGTGAGGAGAATGCATGAATGAATGAAAATATCCTAGTAAAACAGATGAAAATGTGTAATATCCCAATTAAATTACATCTGTATTGTTCTGACACTTTCCTCTTTATCTTCTTTTTATTTTCTCTTTCTGGAAACTGACCTTACTTCTGTTTTCTCCTTCTGCCATCTTCCACTTCTTTTTTACTTTATCTATTTTCTTTGCTAAGGATACCTAATGATGTCCTGAGATTATTTCCTAGCAACACTAGTTGTAAGGTCAGAAATCTCTGTTTTTTTAGAGATCTCTGATTTTGGGATCTCAGATATCTGAGTATTTGTAGCAGTATATTTCAAGCAATGATTTTTCTTCCTTTGACAAATAATAAAATATTATGAAAGCTGGTATAAAGATTAATAATTAAAAGAAATACAAATAGCTATGACTAAATTCTAGCAATATATGATTCATAGATAAATCTTGCTTTCTATTTATGGGAACTCGGGATATGGGAAACTAACAAGTATATGACCCCAAATATTAACTAGTAATTTACACAGGTTGGAAGGGAAAAGTTCAAAATCCATTCTCACTTATCTCCTATATAAACCACTCACAATTTCAGCTCACCAGCTGCCTCTCATAAATGCAGTAGTCTTTAAGTGCAATTGGCAGACTGCATAGATTTCTACTTTCCTCAAAAAATGGTGGATTGCATATGTATATTTACAAGAATTCTGTTCATCTTCTGCTGTTTTCTGACTATACATTGTGCACAACGTAAGAAACTCTTAATTGCTTTATTTCTATAGATATAAATGTAAAAATTAAGTAGATTCTGATTACAGAGTGAAGCAATGTTGTGGTCTTATGCAAATCGAAAGAAACATAATATTACAAGTAAAGTTTATGTTGTTAAAAATTAACAATTTTTAATGTATCTGACTTTTTAGTTTATTTTTAGAGGGTTTCAGTAATTTTGTCTTGAATCTAACATGCTTGTTTCTGAACTCTAAAACAAACATGAAATATGAAAAGTTCTATGGACTACTAACTAAAATTTTTACTTGTGCCAACATTAATGATTTTCAGCTACTTGCATTCAACACTTTGTTTTTCAGAATCTATAAAGATTGTTCTTTATTTTTCACAAAAATTTCAATATGCAATATGTTCAATAAAAACATGTACTTACTTGATAGAATTGAAATTATGTGAATCCCTAGAGATAGACAAAGAAATAAATGATATGATCATATCTGTTTATAAAAAGATCATAAAATATTTGCCAAGTTAAGAAGTCTAATTCTTTTTTTAAACATTGCCCATTGAAAATAGATTTCTTGGGTTGGGGTTATAGCTCAGTGGTAGAGCACTTGCCTAGCATGTGTGAGGCACTGTTCAATCCTCAGCACCACATAAAAATAAATAAATAAAATAAAAACATGATGTCCATCTACAACTACAAAAAGTATTTAAAAAACAGATTTGTCTTAAACTTTTCTAAGCAGCACCATTTGACCCAATAATTCTGGTGAGGGATATCTGTAATGTTGGATAGGGTAATCAATTAAGATGCAGTTTCCATGTTAGAAAATGAGAGAAACTTTTAAAGTACAGTATTGTGTTTTAACTTATAAAGTCCATTATGTTTTGTTTCTTTTAGCAATATATTTATATAGTCTGTCATTTTTACATTAGGAAAAAATATGATCTACCAAGGAAAATGGCTTCCTTTTAGGTTCTATATGCCTGACCTTATCACAGGTATTTTTCCTTCTTGCCTGTCACCTCTAACACCAAACATACACAGATATTCAGGGGCCTGGGATTCTGACAATCTAAAATGTCACTCTACAAAATCTTTTTTTTTTTTTTTTTTTTTTTTTTTTAATTTTTTTTTTTTTTTTTATTGGTTGTTCAAAACATTATAAAGCTCTTCACATATCATATTTCATACATTAGATTCAAGTTGGTTATGAACTCCCAATTTTACCCCAAATACAGATTGCAGAATCACATCGGTTACACATCCACATTTTTACATAATGCCCTATTAGTAACTGTTGTATTCTGCTACCTTTCCTATCCTCTACCATCCCCCCTCCCTCCCCTCCCATCTTCTCTCTCTACCCCATCCACTGTAATTCATATCTCTCCTTGTTTATTTTCCCATTCCCCTCACAACCTCTTATATGTAATTTTGTATAACAATGAGGGTCTCCCTCCATTACCATGCAATTTCCCTTTTCTCTCCCTTTCCATCCCACCTCATGTATCTGTTTAATGTTAATCTTTTCTTCCTGCTCTTCCTCCCTGCTCTGTTCTTAGTTGCTCTCCTTATATCAAAGAAGACATTTGGTATTTGTTTTTTAGGGATTGGCTAGCTTCACTAAGCATAATCTGCTCTAGTGCCATCCATTTCCCTGCAAATTCTATGATTTTGTCATTTTTTAGTGCTGCGTAATACTCCATGGTGTATAAATGCCACATTTTTTTTATCCATTCCTCTATTGAAGGGCATCTGGGTTGGTTCCACAGTCTAGCAATTGTGAATTGTGCTGCTATGAACATCGATGTAGCAGTATCCCTGTAGTACGCTCTTTTAAGGTCTTCACTTCAGATAGAGCCCTAATATCCAGAGTATACAAAGAACTCAAAAAATTAAACAATAAGAAAACAAATAACCCAATCAACAAATGGGCCAAAGACCTGAACAGACACTTCTCAGAGGAGGACATACAATCAATCAACAAGTACATGAAAAAATGCTCACCATCTCTAGCAGTCAGAGAAATGCAAATCAAAACCACCCTAAGATACCATCTCACTCCAGTAAGATTGGCAGCCATTATGAAGTCAAACAACAACAAGTGCTGGAGAGGATGTGGGGAAAAGGGTACTCTTGTACATTGCTGGTGGGACTGCAAACTGGTGCGGCCAATCTGGAAAACAGTATGGAGACTCCTGGGAAAGCTGGGAATGGAACCACCATTTGACCCAGCTATTGCCCTTCTACAAAATCTTTTCTTTTTATTTAGGCTGGAAGACACTCAAAATATTTCAGCTTTTCTTGGAATTATAATTGCTGTGCATGCTTATGGGTCCTTTGAATCATAGAAAACTTTTCTACTCATTAATTCTCAGAGTGTAGAGAACTTTTTCTCAGTTCAGACTGGGGAGGGGATACTGCAGTCATGTCATTGGCAAAATGACTCTCCATGGTAGCCCCAGAAATATAAAAAGTCATTAAGAGTTGTGATTGAAGTGCCTCTTATGCCAGTGGCCTACCACTGCTGTGACTATTTAAATTTACCTATCTAAATGAGTGCACTTGGGAGTGAAGGGAACACTATTAATAATTATTCCAGGATAATGGGCATAAAACAGAACTGTCCTTGCACAACAGTATTATATTTACTCTAGCTTTGGGTATATTGATTTGTTTTCTTTTAGTCAGAAGACAATACACAAATTTAGCCCCAAAGAACTTTTATGTTGCTGAGGGATTTTTGTTTCAAACATTAGATGTTCTTTTGACCATAATGCTATGTATTACTTTTTTAAAGCCATGATGTGAAAATCATCAGTTACAAAATAATAGAAAATTTGTTTGGATATTCATCTTCACTTTTTAAGCCTAGTACATGATAATATGATATTTAAACATTCTCAAAGTACCATAAAGTTGTATCCATTGTCTTTTAAAAAATTTTATGGGTGCATAAAAATTACACAGAGCAGTGGGTTTCATTTTGACATGTATGTATATATACATAACATTGTTTGATTGATTTCATGATTGTTTCTCTAACATGCAGAACTTGTCCTATGTGCAGTATTCAAATTTGAAGCATTTGTTCTATGCTGTTAAGGTATTTTTGAATTTTGTTATTTACAGCCAACTGTACATCTGTGACTGACTTTGATGATTGTCCAGGGAATATAACAGATTTCTGTCCAGAGAATATTGTTTGTGCATGCAAAGATGGAGAGCCTTTTTGCAAGTAAGTGTAATATATGCTCTAAAAGCAGTGCAAACCTAATGTATTGTAAAAAGTAATTCATATTGTTTTCATTTGTTTGCTACATTTAATGATGAATGTTTATTTTAAAATTATATTTTATTTAGTAATGGCTCCCACACATGTGAAAAAAATTGTTGTGTCTTCCTAAATTATATTAATATGGTGTTTAAAAATAGTATACTAAAATGTTAATAATTAAAATTGAGATGATTTATATTAACTCCAAAATTAGCAACATTCAAAACTGCTTTCTACAGACAGAATTTTTTACAGCTAAGTTACATGAATTAGTAAATAAACTGTTTACCATTCTAACAAAGAAGAATTTGAATGTGAATCTTTTCATGCAATAGCTATAATCCAGACATGTGATATATGAATGAAATATTTTGCAAATCAAGATATATTTTAAAAGCTCTGTGATTGCTATTCTTTATTTTCAGGTTCATTTTTTATAATACATGTGTTCTTTGAGCCATAAATACTTTTTCTTTTAAAATTTTTGTAGATATTTTATTTTTATAACCATATAAATGGCAGTGGGTGTGTCAAAGATGAAAGAGTTAGGGAAAAAATATAGCATAAGAGTAAGGAAGAGTGAATTTGTGAGAAAATAAGTATATATGGGGAGTTTTCCAGCATCTATGTCTTTTGAACTGAATTTTAACAATTGATAGTAGCATAGGCAAGTGTAATCAAAGCCATGGAGGCTTGAGATACAATGTTTTTGAATGTAGGGGATAGGTTTCCTTTTTGAGTGGACCACAAACATCAGAATTTAGTCTTATTTATATCCAGCATCTAGCACAACATCTGGTACACAAAATATGTCCTGTAAGAGTTTTTCAAATTCATCAGTCATACACTGGGAGATGTTGTTCAGCAGTGCAAAGTACTGGAAGCATTGAAGAGGATGAAAGTTATTTTTAAAAAGCCATTGAAGCTGGGTATGATGGTGCATGCCTCAAGCCCTATGTGGGAAGCTGAGGCAGGAGGATCATTTGAACCCATGCATTTACAACCACCCTGGGTAAAATAGTGAAACTGTGTCTCAAAAGAATAAAAAAGTCCTTAAATTTAGCATTTAGCAGTTGTTGATGATAATCTTTAGAATATCATTCTAAGATTGCGGTGGAGATGAAAACCAGAAAACAAAATTACATCCAAGGTGTGAGAAGTAAATACAATACCACAATACAGAAACATATATGTCAATTGTATTTTATTTATTTATTTATTTTAGTTATATACAACACCAGGATGCACTCAGGCATAAAGACAAAAGCATGGAACACAGACCACTCCAATTCAGTCCCGAGCACTCCCCAATCCCCTCCACTCCACTGATCCCTCTTCAATCCCTTTATAGTTTACATTTTAAAAATTAGTGTCTGTTTCAGTCAGATTTTTTGCTGCTGTGACTAAAAGATCCAACAAGAACAATTATAGAGGAGGACAAGTTTATTTGGGGGCTCATGTTTCATAGGTCTTGGTCCATAGACAGCTGGCTCTATTCCTCAGGGGCTCCAGATGAGGCTGAAAATCATGGCAGAAGTGTGTGGTGGAGAGAAGCAGCTCAGAAAGTGATCAGAAAGGTGATCAGAAAGCAGAGAAAGAAACTCCACTCAATAGTTACAAAATATATGCCCAAAAGGTACACCACAAGATCCGTTTCCTCCAGCTACACCCTGCCTGCCTTCAGCTACCAGTTAATTCCATCAGGAAATTAATTTATTGATTGGGTTAAGAGTCTCATAACCCAATCATTTCTCCTCTAAACCTTCTTCTATTGTCTCACACATGATCTTTTCAAGTACACCTCACATCCAAACCATAACAGTGTCTTGTGGATACACCCCAGGCTGGGACCCAATGTGTCACATACATGCATGCACATACAAAAGTCTGATCCGATTCTTTCCATTATTTCTTTTTCCTGTTACTTCTTCCTCCTCCTCAATTTCCTTTTTCTCCTCTACTGAGCTTTCTATTATTCTGATGAAATTCCCTCTCCTTTTATCCATTTCTCTCTTTCTTTTCTAAAAGAAAGAAATGATAATTTTGTACTATTTTGTAAAGTCATATTTGGAGGAATTCTGGAGGCTACTAATCAACATTTTGGCTAAAAGCTAATTACCCTTTACCTGTCTTCCTATTTGGGGGAGGGTACTGGTGATTGAACCCAGAGGAACTTTACCAGTGAATTACGTCCCCAGCCCCTTTGTTATTTCTTATTTTGAAACAGAGTCTCACTAATTTACATCAAGCCTCGCTAAGTTGCTGAGGCTGGATTTGTTTTCTTTTTCTTTTTCTTTTTTTTCTGGTTCTTCTTATTTTTGCCTGACAGTAGAATCCATTTTGACATAATTATAAAAGCATGGAATATATCTTGTTCTAATTCAGTCCCCAGTACCTCCCTTTCCCCACTGCTCCCTTCTCTTTACTGATCTTTCTGCCATTTACCTATAGTTATTTTTTAAATTAATTTCTTTTGGGTATACATGATGGTGAAATATGAATATACATTGTGATATATTCATATATGTACATAGGAATGTTATGTCAGATTCATTCCACTGTCTTGTCTTTATTTCATCTTTTCTCCCTTCCCTTCATTCCCCTTTGTCTACTACTTAGAACCTCTATTCTTTTTTTAACCCCCTACCTTATTGTGTTTTAGTTTTCCACATATCAAACATTCAACCTTTATCTTATGGGGACTGACTTTTTTCACTTAGCATGGTAGTCTCCAGATCCATCCATTTACTGGCAAATGACATAAAGTCATTCTTTTTTTTAAGGCTGAGTAATATTCCATTGTGTATATATACCACTTTTTCGTTATCCATTCATCTGTTGAAGGGCACCTAGATTGGTTCCATAGCTTAGCTATCATGAATTGTGCTGCTGTAAACATTGATGCAGCTGCATCACGTAGTATGATGATTTTAATTCTTTAGGATAAATACCAAGGAGTGATATAGCTGGGTCATGTGGTGGTTCCATGCCTAGTATCTTGTGGAACCTCCATACTGATTTCCATAGTGGTTGTGCTAATTTACAATTTCACCAACAGTGTAAAAGTGTTCGTTTTTTTCTACATCCTCTCCAGTGCTTGTTATTTTTTGTATTCTTGATGACTGCCATTCTAATTGTATGAAATTGTAGTGTAGTTTTTATTTGCATTTCCTAATTTTTTCATATATTTCTTGCCATTTGTATTTCTTCTTTTGAGAAATGTCTGTTTAACTCATTTGTCTATATATTAATTGGATTATCTGATTTTTTGATATAAAGTTTTTTGAGTTCTTATAATTCTAGATATTAATCCTCTGTAAGAAGAATAATGAGCAAATATTTTTCCCATTCTGTAGGTTCTCAGTTCATATTTCTATTTGTTTCCTTTCATTTATAGAAACATTTTAATTGATGCCATACCATTTCCTAACACTTGGTATTGTTTCCTGAGCTTTAGGGGTCCTATTGAGGAAGTCACTGCCTATGCCTATATGCTGGAGGGCTTACCCTGTGTTTTCTTTTGGGAATTGCATAGTTTATGTTCTAATTTCTTCTATTCTCTAGGTTCTTTCTTAATGCTCTTGACTGATTCCTTTGCTGTGAAGAAGCTTTTTAATTTGGTGTTATCACATTCATTAATTTTTTAAAAAAAATTAATTCTTCTGCTTTAGGAGTCTTGTTAAAGAAATCATTTCCTGAGCTGATGTGTTGGGGTATTGGGCCTGCATTTTCTTCTAGTAGATTCAGGGTTTCTGGTCTAATATTAGGTCCTTGATCCACTTTGAGTTGAGTTTTGTGCAGTGTGAGAGGTAGGGGTTAAATTTCATTCTACTTTCTAGTTTTTCCTGCACCATTTTTTAAAAAAGGCTATCTTTTCTCCAATGTATGTTTTTGGAGCTTTTGTCAAGTATGAGGTAACTGTATTTTTGTGGGTTTATCTCTGTAATTTCTATTCTTTTCCATTAGTCTTCATACCTGTTCTGTTGCCAATACCATGCTGATTTTTTTTTTTTTTTACCATTGCTCTGTTATATTCTGAAGTCTAGTATTGTGATGTGAGGCTGGTCTTGAACTTGCAAACCTCCTGCCTCCACCTTCCAGTCCCTGGGATTAGCAGTGTGTGCCACCATGCTTGACTCTAATTTTTATTATGATTATTTTCCTTATTTGTTTTAAAAGTCTACATTTATTAATTGCTGAATCATATTAACATTATGCCTATTTTAAAGTTTTTCTCCACCAAATTGTTTCAAACAAATTACTTCATCTTATTTTACTGGAAAATCTCAATGTGCAAAATACTTGTTCTGATCTTGAGGTGCCCCTGTACATAACTGTGTATGTGTCACTTTCTTTGGAAGTCTATGTTCTCAAACAACCTAGTAGTTTTGTGTGTGAATCAGCTTCAACGTGCCAGGAGACTAAACGTGAGGCAAGCAGATCTAGAATTGCACAGATTAAAATTTACTGGGGAACTTACTGACAGAGGCATGGGCCTGGGTGGAAGTAAGCCCAGTTGGATCGCCACAATTTGGTTTAGAAGGAAGGGGATACATATGGGTTAGATCAAAGGTGACTTCATCTTAACTGGAATGTACCTGGTTTTTCTTGAGCTAATATCAAATAGTCAGGCACATTCCTAGAGTCACAATTCAGTTGTAAATCTCTCCATACAATTCTAACAGTTTTGCATGTTTACAATTCGCTGGGAAACTAAACAAAAATAACTGATTAGGGCTACTTTGGGGAAATCATAGTGATTATCAAGATGGCTGCAGTCATGTCAAATTGAATCCATGCATTCTACCCCCTGTAATCAGCTTTTACCATCTCACATGCCCCCCTCTTCCTCAATGTGCTCTGAGCCTGTGGAGGATATTAGTATTTTGTAGGTGGTATTTTGAGGCCATTTATGTAGCTTGTAAGCAGAATTTATATCAGAAGTAGAGGCACCTGCACCA